CCGTCGCGCGGCCGCTAGGGCCTGGACGGTCAAGGTCGACCCCGATGCGGTGGTCCTGCCCGGGCGCCTGCGTGCCCACCTTGCAGTCTTCGATGCGTCGCGCCTGCTCTACGTCCGCAGCGCGGACTGCTTCGGGGAGGAACTGCACGTCTTGGGGGCCCTCGAGGTGCTGTCGTCGACAGCGCTGGAGGTCTATACAGCCGGCATCCAGCTCTGCTACCACGAGCTGCCATGGTCGGGGTGGAGCGAAGACTACTTCACAGAGCACTGCCTTCTGCGCCTTGGAGTCGACTCTGTGGAAGACCTCTTCCTGGTGAGCGACAAGAGCTGCCACCACGCCGTCCACAGCTGCATCGACCAGAGGTGGGCGGCCTACCACCCCCTTACGAGCACGTGGGACCAGAACGTCTGCGTCGCGCAGGGCCTCTCGCGCGGGGCGAAGGCGAGCGTCGGACCAGGGCGGCCGCCTCGTCGCCTGCAAGAGCGCCGTGGCGGCCCCGCGGGGCTCATGCGAAACCGGCCAGCCCCAGGAGGAGAAAAAAAAGGGCGAACCCAGACCCCCGACGTCGCGATTTTTGTTCGCAACGTCGACCCCCAGAGGTCTGGACCCCTTCCCCTGGACCAGTTTTTCGTCCTCGAGTCGTTTTGTCGACGGTCCCGAGACCCGGTAAGGGCCCCCATGGGAGGCCGAAAATAGCGAAAACCTCCCCTCGTGATTTTGTCATTGCCCGGGCCCGAGGGGGTCTGGGGATTCGCCTCGACAAATCCGGGTCGGAGCGTACCCCAGGAGAGGCCCTGGGAGTGTAGCGGTACATCGGTACCTCCTTTCGGTCTTCCCTAAGTCATCGACGCGGTCGTGGGTCAACTCGAACCAGGCAGTGTACGTTCTGTCGAGCAAAAACAAAGGGGAGAGGGGTCCAGAAGAGCTCGTTGCGGAGTTTCCGCGGCGTTGTTCATGATGGTTTACGAAGCCAGGGCGCCAGAGCGCGCCCGAGAGGAAGATCTCCAGCCGTGGGCCAGTTCCCTCCCAGATGGGCTGTTCGAAGCTGGGCCTTCCAGATGGGGTCCAGCTCGGGACCCAGAGATCCAACGCATTGAACAAATCATGACGGAGGTTTTCCTCAATTTTCGGTCTCCAGGGGCCGCAACCGGGCCTCGGCACCGTTGAAAAACTACTCGGGAGGAAAATCCGGTGCTGGGGAAGGGGTCGGGACTTCCGAGAACCCCGTATTGACATCGGCTCTCTGTAGGGGGCCACATGCGAACCCTACACCTACTCCCCCCTTCTGAGGGGGGTGGGTGGGGTTCACTTCGAAATCCCCACCCTCCCCCCCAGAAATCGTGGGGGGTAGGGGTAGGGTTCGCATCTGGCCCCCTATCTCTGGGGAGGGGGAAAGGCCCAGGCCCCCTCGAGGCATAAAAAGATCACGACGGGAGGTTTTTTGCGATGTTCGGCCTCGGGGAGGCCCTCCTCGGGTCCTGGGGTCGTCGAGAAACGACTCGGGACGCGAAACACTCGCGTGGTGAAAGAATCACGACGGGAGGTGTTTCGCTTTCTGTTCGGCTTCAAGGGTTAAGTCGGGCCCGTCCCTCTACAGGGGGAATATTCAAACATAGTAGAAAATTAGTCTGGGAACTATTGTTTGAGTATTTTGGGGCATTTTCAAATATTTTTGTATTTTTTGTTTTTCGTCCAAAACCCCCCTGTAGAGGGACAGGCCCGACTTAATTCAAGGGGCCCTTGCCGGGCCTCGGGACCGTCAGAAAATTCAGTAGGAAAAACCGGTCCCTGGGAAGGGGTCCAGACCTCTGGGGGTCCGAATATGATGTTCCAACCTACTTTAGCTCTGGTCACCAGAAAGAGAATTTCGAGTACCAGGGAAGTACGGAAGCTGGAGGGTGTGTTCACGTGCCGGGCCCTGGGAGGCGGGACTCGCTCGACATTGTTTCGATATTTTTCTGGGTGCCCGAAACTATTTCTGGGATGTGGTCCTGAAGTGAAATCGGAGCAACATAATCTTAGATGGGGTCCGAGTAGATAGGGTCGGAGGATCGCGCCGCATCGCCGATGCATCGCCGATGCGGCTCGACGCAGGGCCCGATTTGCTTCGCGTCGACGTCGCCGATGTATCGCCCACGTCGCCGATGCATCGCCGGTGCATCGCCGATACATAGCCGATGCATCGCCGATGTGTCGGCGATGCGGCGCGATCCTCCGACCCCATCTGCTCGGACCCCATCTGGGAGGCCTCTGTCGAAGCCCTGGCCCGTAGTGTCCTGTCTTCGGGGGCCCTGATTCTCGCACACAGGTTCGGCCGTGGAGCACGGCGGGGTGTGCAGCACCGTGCTGCGGCCGCGCGCACGTCGGTTTGACCCCAAAGGGGGTGCTTGGTGTAATAGACTAGTCGGGTTGCAGCGCACGTGGGGCGTGCAATGCATTCTGGGGCGCGAACGTGCTGCTGGATTCTCGCGTGCAACACGTTACCTGCAACACAGTGCAATACGACTCTCCGAGCTGCCGCACCCTCGCCCGAGATCTGCTGCCCCCCCCCCCCCTCAGCCGGACCCCCTCGCGGGTCGCCCAGAGCACGGCCAGCTGGCCGCACGACCCTCCGCCTCGGACCCCCTGCCCGGGAGCAGGCCGAGGCCTGAGCTGCTGCGCCCGGCTGCCCCCTCTGCTCTGCGCTCCCGCTCCCGCTGCTTCTGCCTCGCCCTCTCGGGTCCCCTCCTCGTCCCACAGCCGGCCCTCCTGCTCTGTCCTGCTCGCTGTGCTCCCTCCCCTGCCCATCCCTCCCTCCCTCCTCCTCCTCCTCCTCCTCCTCCTTCTCCTCCCCTTCCGCCCTGCCGTCCACGCTCTGTCTCTTTTCCCTGCGCACACCTCCTCTCCTCCTCCGTCTCCCTGCCATTCTTCTCACAACCGGCATTCTGATTTCGCTTACTCAGTTCCCCCCGTCGTCTGCTTCCTCCTCCTCCTCCTCCTCCTCCTCCTCATCCTCCACATGTTCTTCCTCAAACTCCGCCTCACGCCTGCTCATTACTCTCCTTCTTATCATCCCTTCTGTCTCCTTCCACGCTCCCCCGTCTCTCGTCTTCTTCCCCCTACGCTGCCGCCCCCCGTTGCCCTCCTCTCTCCTCCTCCTGCCTCCTCCCTCCTCCTCCTTTTTTCCCTTCTCCTCCTCTCTCCCTCTCCTCCTCCTCCTCCTCCTCCTCCTCCTCTTCCTCTTCCTCCGCCTCCTCCTTCTCCTCCTCCTCCTCCTTTTTCCTCTCCCTCTCCGCCGCCTCCTCAGCCTCCTCCTCTTCGCCTCCTCCTCCTCATCCTCCTCTCCTCTTTCTCCTTCTCCTCTCTCCTCCTCTCCTCCTCCTCCTCCTCCTCCTCCTCCTCCTCCTACTCCTCCTATGTTTGTTGTTCTCTCTCTCTCTCTCTCTTTCGCCATCTCTCTTTCTCTCTCTCTCTCTCTCGCTCTTTCCACATCTCTTCTTCTAATACTCCTTCTCGCGCCCCAAAAAGTCTCGGGAGGGTGTGCCGTGCCTTTCGTTCGAGGCGTCCTCGCCACTCGTGCTCCTGGCTCTCGCCTTCGCGCCGCTCACCTTCGTTGGAACCTGCTGCAGCCGCTTCCAGAATGGAGGGCGGGTCGGTTTTTCAAAATGCCGCTCTCGCCGCAGCGCCGTCGCACACATTTGTTTTAAAGCATTCTCCGAAGTTTCAAGGATGGAGGGCGGGTCCGTCGCAACACGTGGCCCTCGCCTGAGCACCACGCCCATCCACCCAAACATTCGAAGCAGCTTCAAATATGCAGGGTGGCTCCTTCTCAGGATGTGGCTCTCGCACTAGCGCAGCGTACATTCGTCTTAAGGCGTTCGGCGTTGCTGAAGATGTCGTGTGGTTGAAGTCCCCAAACTGGTGTTATGCCATGATGTATGATTGTCAGGGCGCAACAGTCACGTTGATCCGCGGCGTTGGAGCCCGAGGAATTACGCCCTGACGCGAATTATGCTGCCAGTCCGCAACAGTCTCCTTGCCTCCAAGCGGTCAAGTCCCAGGAATGGCGATCTGGCACGGTTTGGGATTTTCAGACGGTTGTCTTTCAATTGGCAAAATACATTATCCCGGCAAAGCAACCTAAGAGCGATGTGTAGGAGCATATTTGGAAGCATTCCCCTTAAGATTCAGATGAGAATCCAGTAGTAGAATTCTGCCGTTCTCGCAGTCGTAGTCGCATTCGCGATGACAGTCGCAGTGGCAACGGCAGTCGCAGTCACAGCCTCAGCCTCAGCCTCAGCCTCAGCCTCAGCCTCAGCCTGCATCAGCCTCAGCCTGCCTCAGCCTCAGCCTCAGCCTGCTTCAGCCTCAGCCTCAGTCTGCCTTCAGCCTCGGCCTCAGCCTCAGCCTGCCTCAGCCTCAGCCTGCATCAGCCTCAGCCTCAGCCTGCCTCATCAGCCTGCCTCAGCATCAGCCTGCCTCAGCCTCAGCCTCCTGCCTCAGCCTCAGCCTCAGCCTGCTTCAGCCTCAGCCTCAGTCTGCCTTCAGCCTCGGCCTCAGCCTCAGCCTGCCTCAGCCTCAGCCTCATCAGCCTGCCTCAGCATTCAAAATGTGGCCCGGGAATGGAGTTCTGGGAACTCGAAGAACACGAAGTGGCCTACAGTTGGCTCCGGGCATTCAAAATCATGCCCAGGAATGGAGTTCTGGGAACTCGAAGACCACGAAGTGGCCTACAGTTGGCTCCGGGCATTCAAAATCATGCCCAGGAATGGAGTTCTGGGAACTCGAAGAACACGAAGTGGCCTACAGTTGGCTCCGGGCATTCAAAATCATGCCCAGGAATGGAGTTCTGGGAACGCGAAGACCACGAAGTGGGTTACTGTTGGCAAACAAAGGAGTCCCCGGCATCCTCCCCCGGATCCCGCCCAGACCGCCCCCTGGGGCGTCATGATGCTTTCTTTTGACTCTACTAGAAACCTATCAGTCTTCGCTTTTAGGTAATGATTGCAGGAGCCCGCGACGAGGGAACTTGGAGGGAGGGTTTCTTGCAAGGCCGTCGATGCGCCTTGGGTCTGCCCTGGTCCTCCTCTGCTCCTCCTCTCCTTCTCCTCCTCCTCCTCCTCCTCCTCCTCCTCCTTCTCCTCCTCTCTCCTCCTCATCCTCCACCTGCTCTGCCTCCTCCTCCTCATCATCATCATCATCATCCTCCTCTCCTCCTCTTCCTCCTCCTGCTCCTCTTCCTCCTCCTCCTCCTCCTCCTCCTCCTCCTCCTCCTGCTCCCCTCTCCTCCCTCCTCTCTCCTCCTCCTCGCTCATTCTCGTCCTCCTCCTCCTCTTCATTCATTCATTCATTCATGCGTTGAGGGCAAGAAGGTTGAAGCCCAAACTAGGAATAGAGGCCGAGAGGAAAAAGAGCAGAGCGAGCGCACTGTACAACAACGATGCCAGGATTACACCACACCGCTGCAGACAGCCCGAGCCACCAAACCTGCCCACCAAGTCCGGCCGTGGCACGAGGGACCGGGGGGGGAGAGGGGGGCCCCAGGGAGCGCAGACAGGCTCAGCCTGTCATTCGAGATTCGGACGCCGTCACTTGAGACCAGTCGTCGCGGTAGCCTCGGGGAACGCAAAATACCTTTACCCTGGCAGGGAGCACAAAAAGGGGGGAGGGGGGGGAACTCGTTCCGTTTCCCCGTCGCCGGGAGGCCGGCCGGGTAAACGTCACCGGGGCACTGGTGCCGCCAGAATGCACCACCGGACACCCCGGACAGCACGGTATCTGAGAGAACCGGCGGGTCCAGAACAAGAGGAGCGAAGGGGGCAGAGGAGGAGGAGGAGGAGGAGGAAGAAGAGGAGGAGTTGGTCAGCCCACTCCTCGTTCAGAATGAAGATAGATACGGATCGAGTGTGAGCGGCACCTGGGGCTCCTCGATCTCGATCGTTTCTTCCTCCACCGCCGGGTGGAATGGGGCGCCTGAGACAACCATGGGCGGCTGCTCCGCGTAGTTATCCTCTTCCTCCTCGTCCTCGTCGTCCTCCTCGTCCTCCTCGTTCTCGTCCTCCTCTTCCTCCTCCTCCTCCTCCTCCTCCTCCTCCTCCTCCTCCTCCTCCTCCTCCTCCTCCTCCTCCTCCCCCTCGGTCCCGCAGGCCCGCGCCGGCGGCGGCGGCGCCACGTTTGGGCAGGACGCCTCGCCGGCCCAGGGCGGGGGGGGTGGGCATGCATGCGGCCCGGATGAGTAGGTCGACCCTGCCAGGGCAAGGGTACCCTCGTGTCCTGCGTCTCGCGGCCCATGCCTCCTGCATTCCTGTGGCAACGTGGCCCTCGGAAGGGTCCTCTCGCGTGCCCTCTCCAATCAAGTCCGACTGTACCAGGACCCAAACTAGCTGCCCAGACCCCCTCGCGCTGTGGAAAAGTCACGACGGGAGGTTTTTCGCTATTTTTGGCTTCCAGGGGCCCTTTTCTGGGCCTCGGGACTGTCAACAAAAACGATTCGGGAGGAAAAACCGGTCCCGGGGAAGGGGTCCAGACCTCCAGGGGTCGACGTTGCGAAAAACATCGGGGGTCTGGGTGGAACGGGGGGGGGTCGACTAGACGTGAGAGTGACTTTTCGCCGGAGTGACCAATGGGGTTCCACCGATCGCTGAGCGCGAAGAAGGAGCACTGGCTTGCGCGCCTGGGTTTGGCCATCCCGCGTCCCCCGCTGCGCCGCGCACCAGAAAGGTCAGGGTCACTCTTGCGTGTAGCCGAGGGAGGGGCAGGAGGAGGCGCGGCAGGGAGGGATGCAGGGGGGCAGGAGCTGGGGGTGGGGCAGGGGAGGGGAGGAGGAGATGGGGGAGGAGCAGGGGAGGAGCAGGGGAGGAGGAGGGGGGGTGGGGATGGGAGGGGAGGGAGGAGGTGGGGCAGCAGGGGCAGGAGAGGAGGGAGGGGGGAGGGGCCTCCTCGTCGGAGGCCTCTCGCCGCCACCAGAGGCTGGATGTCCGCCTCGCGTGGGGCGGGGAAGGGGGCCCGCGGACCCCAGACACGACGGGAGGTTTTTCGCTATTTTCGGCCTCCGGGGGCCGGCCCATGGGCCTCGGGAGCGTCAAAAAGCAATTCAGGAGGAAAGCCGGTCCCGGGGAAGGAGATCAGACCTCCAGGGGTGGATATTGCGAAAAAAACACGACGTCGGGGGTCTGGGACACCGACTACCTGAGCAGAGAGGGGCCCAGCGGGAGAGGAGCCCGGGCAGGGGAGGGACAAGGAGGCATTGTAGGTGCGCCCGCGCCATCTCTGACATCCCTCCCTCCCATCCCTTCCTACAGTGCGCTGCGTTTTGTGTCTGTCCGCGGACGCCGATGCTCTGAGCGGACATTGGCCCGGCGGGAGAGGAGCGTCCGGGCAGTTGTGAGGGAGGGGGAGGACCCAGACTCCCTCGCGCGGCGAAGAAATCACGACGGGAGGTTTTTCGTTCTTGTCCGGCCTCCAGGGGCCCCTGCCGGGCCTCGGGACCGTCAGAGCACTACTCAGGAGGAAACGCCGCT